GCTTAAGAATGTAGGCATATCCCTGTATGACTTTATCGGATGGAAATGGCCAAATCTGTTGAGTAGACCCGGTGTCATGATTGTCAATGAAAGTCACCGCATTTTGTGGCAAGAGGCCTATCAATCCTGGTGGCTTTCCATTTGAGTCCTTCAACCTCCATAACTCTCCCTGCACAGCAGCTTGAAGTATCCCTTTAGATGTGAAATCAAATGCTGTGACAGCACCACCAGCTGCTTGAATCCAATCTCTTATACTGCCGCGGTGCGCATCCTGGTTATAGTCAAGCTTTCCATCCTGACCATCAGCAAGAGAGTCCCATTTTTCACCAACAGCAAAATCTGGTGAAGTATTTTCCATGTAAATTTTGGTAATACTGGGAGCATAACCCTTGACAAAGTCGAATCGCCATCCATCAAATCCTATTTCAGACTTTAACCAATTCATCCAATCTGATAATTCTCTCTGAACTCTTGGATTGAGGTGGTCAATATCAGGGGCAGGCTCGAAGTCATCTCCTGAATCAGGATTTCCTTTGCCATCAGAATAGGTAGTGTCATCGGCACAAATGAAGGATGGCCCCCAGTCAAGGCGATCATCAGAAGTTCCACCTTCAAAAACGGACCATATTCCTCTCTCATCTTGCTTCTCAGCAGTTCTATGGTTTATGACAATGTCTGCTAGGCATTTAATTCCCTTCTGGTTGAAATCCCCAATTAGTGATTTCAATTCATCCTGTGATCCATATCTTGATGCGCTCAGATCATAAAGCCTGCCTGGCATATATCCTAGAAGAAATTTAAATAAAGTGAACGTTAGATGTTTTGTCTCCTGAAAAGGAATTCAATGATCAAAATAAGAAAACCAAATTGTCGCTTTTTCTCAAGTTTTCTTGTTTTTAAGCACATCTCAAATGTTTCAAATTAAATGCAACAACTAAATTTCTCGTCATCAAATATTACTCTTCAGGTCATAGTTATAACACCAAACTTGGGTTCGACGTGACTCAAGACTTGGTTCACGGCTCAAGATTTTGTTTTATTTAAAAAACACTGGATTATTTCATCGACCCGACTTGAGCAGGTCTTGATGAACGAGTTACTGAATTGACCTGATAGTTCGAGCCTAATTAGCCTATCTAGAGGCTAGAATTCAGGTAACTAGAATGTGTTGAGATAAATTTTGTACCTTATAGTAAGAACATATGAGAATAGATTAACGAAGAAGTGACGGTTAAAATGTAAAAATATTTATAAACTACCTTGTGGTGCAACGGACTGAGAGGATGGAGGACGCCAGACATGAGTAATTCCGGCATTAGCCAAATCAGGAACTGAGTTTTTTAGCGAGTTGTACCATCCTCCTGCCTTGTTACATGACTCCCAATTGAACCCCTATCATATGATCACCAAACTCATTAACAATGAAATTTACATATACAGAATCGATTTGGTTCTGAGAGGGATATGTGTGCCATTTTCATGCCTTACCTGAAATAGTAAATAAGAAGAAGTGAGAAGAGGGAAAACTGAGAGAAAGAGAGAGAAGAAGCAGAGAGTGAGAAAGCTCATTCTCTTTGTTTTGCTGTTGGGAGGTAAACTCTGATGCTTTGTTATAGGCCTCAGTGGCGTGCTAGCGTCGAAAAATCCACAGGGTAAACAAAGATGTCCGTAATGGCTGAAAGAAGTCATAGTCAAGCACGAATAAAAGTCATAGTTAAGCAATGCTAGAAGTAGTTGCTAACAGCCTAAATGTTTTTGACCAATTAAAAGTTATGTCCAGTTTTTTTTTTTTTTTAAATATCAGTTTAACTTATTCAAACTTTACCTAGTCGCAATAATAATCCAATTTAGTATTTTTTTTAAAAAAAAATATCAGTTTAACTTATTCAAACACTACCTAGTCGCAATAATAATCCAATTTAGTATGAAAAGAGCTATCAATTCTTATTTAAACTTTATTGTTATAAGATAGATTAGTTTAATCTAGTCCCAGTAATAATCCAATCTAAGTATGAAAGTAGGCATTGATTCTTATAAGTGGTTATCACATTTGGTTGAAAAGTTAACGATGTTAAATTACCGTACATTAAATTATGACTAAACATTTCTAAATCAGAATTTGAGTTAGATACGATGGGTGTGTTCGTCATCTGATTGTCGACCGTCCTTCGGCCCTAAAAACACGTACCGGAGACCAAACCTGTTAAAAAGAGCATCAATTCATGATTATAATTTTCCAATCCCACAATCTCTCATAAACTGGCCACCTAATATAATAGTCTTCAGAGAAGATATTCAAATTGAGTTCCCTGGTAGATCATATTGGTTGATTCTACGCAATAATATAAGAAAACGGTTCAATAAGTAAAAATATCTTTCAAACTACGTATTTTTTTGCGTTACTGCAAGCACTAGCTTACTCTCTTGATTGCGCTAATAGTTTGTAAAATGTTTTTGCCGACTCTGCTAATTTCTGGGAAAATTGGACTTCAATTCTTGGTTCTAGATTCTTATCCCTTGAATTATCAACGTCCTTTAAACCTAGCCAAAATGCTTGACTTTCTAACAGAAACCAAAGGAAAAGGGTTAACCTTTCACACTTGCTCCAGGTCATGTTTGTGCATCAAGTCCTTTCACGTTCCAAATCATGACCAAAGCTGCAACGGCAATCTGTCTTGATTGGGGAATCTCAACAGCTATTCAGTTGGATTTTTAATTTGGGATAGAAATGCCAGTTATTGAAAATGAAGGGTTTGGTCCAGTGAAATGGATAGGGATACTGTCAGTTGTCTGAGGATGCGATTGGTAATCACCGTATAGTGTTTAATGTTAATTTAATGTAGCACAAATGGCAATTGTTAAAAGAGCTTTGCTAGCAGACTGCTTGCAGCTGGCAACACGCACAAGTTGAAGATGGAAGATGGCAGAGAAGGAAAAGAAATGTGAGGAAGAATGGCGTACAAGGCACGAAGTGAATCCAAACAAACCATAAATGAGACCCCAGATTTGTTGATAAGCAAGATGTCAGATAATAATATAAATTTTAGAGCTTTAAATTTAAATTTTTGAATTGAGATAATTTTTTGATATGATATCAGAATTTTGATTCAAAATTTAAATTTTTTGGTTGAGATAATTTTTTGATATGATATCAGAATTTTGATGACAAAACAGCCATAAGTTCGACTCTTATCATCTTTATTTATTTAATAAAAATTAAATATAAAATAATATGAGTCGTTGCAAGTTTTAAATTTAAAAAAATTTTATTTTATTTAAAGAGAATATATTAAAAAATAATATAAATTATATTTTAAAAATTTATTTAAAATCTAATTTTTTAAGTTGAGATAGTACTCGTGAGCTTTTATAAAACATGGCAACTGCTGGCTGGGCTGTGGCATGTGATAGCTCAGCCCAATAACATTGGCTATGATCAAGTCATTTGATTACCCTGTCCAGGGTCAATAACATTGCTCTTTAATAGTTGTTGAGATTTGAGAAGTGAAACGAAACAACCAGCCCCTGTAGCCTTTCAGAGTCTTGTGATCCTACCCACTTATTCCGAATTAGTTCACCTAGCGGAGTGATTTTCCTTTTTTCTGATATGCTGAGTAGATCCAGCCGTTAGCCAGATACCAACATTGTGGCAGCCAGAGACTCGAGTAATAGATGCTTTCAGTTAACAGAAATGGCGCGCCAACAAGATTTTCTAACTCTTTCACTCGATGGTGACATCAGACATTAGTAATCCTTCTCTCTCCCCAATTTATAATCTTTCTAAACCTCGGTTGTTGACATTTATTGAAGACCAGTGGCAATTAGGAAGAAGAAGATCAAGAGTGCAGCGGCCAGCAATAACTATTCTCGAGTCCCCGTCCAAACTACCCCCTCCCAAAACTAGATAGGTAGGTGTGATTAACAAAAGTTCACATCACATGAGCATGGTTGGTGATAATCATGGCAATTTAGGGGTGGATGTCAGATGTGCGCAAACAAACCAAGGATTGCACAATCTAATGATTTTTAGTCCAAGAAACAAGAGCATGTAAATTGATAAACAGAGAGGATTGTGGAGCTTTATGACTATAAAGATTGTTCTAGGCTTACAGCCTCCAATCCAGTCCCCTGTTAAATGAAAAAAACCAACAATTTATGAATTCATCAACAATAACAGACGTTGATGGACAGCTTTCAACCGGTTGTATAGTCTCCCAGTAGCAGCTCACAGCTTAGGACGCTTGGGGAAGATGCCAGGGGTGAATTTCTGCGCAGCACTCAAACTACCCTTGACCTTCAATGCACCCCTGCAAGCATCAAATGAATAAGTTGAAGTACGCAAATGAAGAACAAGCAATGAATTGAATTCGAGCAGTGATAGAACAGAACAGCTAAAGTTCCCACCTCATGAACGCAATCTGGGGATTCAACTTTCCATCAGCAAGCTTCACAAAATCTTCATCCCTTAGGGTAAATGTGGTATCAGGCTTCCCTCCTTCGTACGGCCCTAAATTTCATAACAATTAAACTTGTTTAACAAAAGGATCATGCATGTGTGTAAGCAAGAGAGAGAACAATCCTCGTATCTAATGCATTTTCTAATTGATCTCACCCAAAAACAAACAAGAATATCAAAAGAAATTCAGGATCTTGAAGCTCCAACCAAGTGAAAACCTCATATGATCTACTACAAAGCTAAAATGCTTCCATCACAATCAGCCTTGGTTGCAATAAAAGGGATCAACTACTACACTAATTCAACATACTAAAGATCCTCTCTTTTCATTATCCAAATAAATAAAAAAATTCTTGTCCTTTTGATTTGTTTCTCAGGTTTCTCCCGCCATGTAACAAGAAACAGGGCCAAACACAAGACTTGTTTGGAATCTCCTAAGAAAATCTGATGGGCCCGACGTATCTTACTTGCAAGATGTAGGATGCTAATGGTTGCAAGCTTAACTTGCAAGCTATATATATATATATATATATGGGCAAATCAAGATTCCAATCTGAGATCAGAACAAAAGTAAACATGATGAAAAAGCTCATACCTTTGATAACCTCGCCCTTTTTGAAATCAATAGTATAACTCACCTCATCCTTCCCAATTTTCTGCAATTCAAACCCATACAAAAATAATCTAAACATACGTAAACAATCACAAAAGAAGAAGAAGAAGAAGAAGGGACGGGGATGGGTTACCTCGGGGGCGAGGTTGAATTGATAGACAAGGTTAACCTTGTTTTTAACAGCAATACCCTCGTCGGTCTGAAGGAACCGCTTCAAAAGCTCAAAAATAAAGTCTGACTTGAGCTGGACAGTAGCCATTGCTGAAATGTTATGCCACTTCTGCTGTTGCTTTGATAGAATGGCATATATAAAGACGAAAGATGGTCTTGTAAGGATGAATTGAGTGAGGGGCAGGGGAGGGTTGAGATTATTTATTCAGTTAGATGGAGGTAGTTGACGATAATTATAGGCGCAGTAATTAGGAAGGAGTGGGCCTTAAAATTTATGAGAATTTAATTGATAATTTCCTGCAAGCAAACATACCATAGAGTTACCTCTGTTTTTTTATTTTTTATTTTATTTTATTTTGTGTTTTTTTATTTTCTATTTATGTAGTTTGGTGAAGGTGGAAGATGAAATATGAGGTTGTTTCTTTCCTCCATTTTGGGAACCTCTCTTTATTGTGTCGATGACGTATCTCGTGTCTTCGTCGGACTCGTTTAGAAATTGACTTGAAAAATCTCATTTTTTTTAAGTTATTGAATTAATTTATATTTTATTAGATCCATTAGGATCAATATTTTTTTATTATTATAAAGAAATGCTTCCTTCCTTTTTTCAAAAAAAAAAAGAACTCCTAAATATTTATCTGACTATGTTTAGATTAAGTTTAATTAAATCATTAAAAATTTAATCAAGTTAGTCAAGTTTCAGCATGTTAATTTTAATTTAATTTAATTTAAAACTCTTTGATATCAACCTGGTTAAATTTAAGCTTTAATTGTGTTTGATTAAATCAATAAAAAAATAAAAATTAAGTTGAATCAACCAAGTTTCACTAACCCAATATTTTAGTTCAATTAAAAACTTGATCAAGTAAAGTTTAAATAATAAATTTAACTACATAAATCAAATCAAGTTAAATAATATTTTATTAAAACAAGCTAAATCTCAATTTAATGCTCTTTTTCAAATAAAGTTATAAGTTTGTAAGACAATTCTCAACCATGTTTTTTTAATATTGTTCATTGACTCCATCATTCTTGGTGTTAGTTTTATTGTATAATATATGAATGTTATTTAAAAAATAACATGAAAAATTGATGAAAAACATTTTATTGGGAAATGCAGATAACATTTGGGATATGAAATTTGTAATCATAAAATTTAATTGAAAATAAATGTACAAAATAGTACCTAAATCTAGGTTTATCCTTCTATCCATTACCTGCATGAAAAGTTTTTATTATTATTATTATTTTTCTTGGTATAAAGCATAACAAGGCAGCGACCAAGGGGTGCCACTACCACCACTAGAAAAAATCACCTAAGAAAATTGCCCATTGTATATAATTTTTTTTTTTTTTAAATGCCGTATTGCATTTCTTCTTCGACGTATACCACTGAAAAGTATTCTGCACAGGAGGTTGAGCCTCGCCGGATGGCAGTCAGACAGCTAGAATCTTAGAAGTATTTTTGAACTAGTCGACGACCGAAAACTAATCAGATTTTTTTTATTTTATTAAAAAAACTAAGAAGGAAATTAACTTTGTGGAGCAAGATCCTAACCTGGACAGTTGCCCCTGGTTTGCATATAATGATTGATTTTGTTGAAAGAATATGGAGAAGAAAAGAAAGAAAGTTACCCTTTTAGTAAATAAAAATATATAAAGAAAGAAAGTTACTCTTGTGTAAATAAAATAAAATTTACACAAGAGTAACTTTCTTTCTTTATATATTTTTATTTACTAAAAGGGGAACTTTCTTTCTTTTCTTCTTCATATTCTTTCAACAAAATCAATCATTATATTCACTAAAAATATCTCGAGTCATAAAATAATTAACACATTTACAATATAATTCCCAACACATAATCAGTTTAATAAAAATCAAACATGAAATTTAGTTTGCATATTACAATCGTATGTTTTCTAACAAAACTAAAAAAATACACCATTCATAGTTAATTTAGATTTATAGAATTCTTTAGTTACAAAATTATATTAGCAAGATATGCATTGGTTACACAAAATACCAATGTAATATCCATTATTCATCACGACATTATACAATATCTGAAATTTTATAAATTATTTAAAGTAATTATTTTATGCACAAAAATTATTTACTAATATTATCATTACTGCTAAATATGTAATTATCTAAATTTCACATAATCTACAATTTCATATAATTTTATCAAACTAGCATTTATTTCAATTCTACATTAATGATTTTCTTCAATTTCCTAGTAACCAGTGCATAATTAGGGCACTAATCTCTCTACTTACAAGAACTGATTTCTTCAATAACACATTAATCAAAGAATCATCCAATTAATTTAGAGATTAAATTCTCATTTACCTATTAACTATAAATTAACTAAGACATCGTTCTTTGTTATATCAACATAAACAATATCATTTATTATTTCTTCATCGGTTAATTACTTCACATTCTAACTCAATAAACTATTATTTTATTTATTAACTTAATATAATTCAATATCATTTTATATCTTCAAGGTAATCCAACAAATCTAAGATTAAAATTTTAGTTTAATGTATATTTTATTTCTTTCAAAAACTGAGTTCTATGTTACAACTTCATAAAAAAAAAAGGAATTATATTCTTTTCATTGATACGTCTAGGATTATTTTTAAATGTAATATCAAAATTGTTTAGTAAATTTTAATTTGACTTTTCTTTTATTTTTAATTTTTATCCAAAGTTTTATAATTCTGATTTAAATAAGGTTGATTTTGTTGGAAATATATCTTCTCTTACTTTGACTTATACGTGGAACTTATTCCAATTTTTAATCACTATTAAGTTTTAAGTCCAGATGGAATTTGAACAATGAAGTTGTCTAATTTTTCAATTTTTTTCTTTTAACATATAATAAATATTTTTTATTTTATTTTTCTCGTTGTTCAATGTAATTATTTTTTGTACCCAAATTTCATAACATTCTTTCATCATAATATTGCAACTGGGCACTAAATACTTTACATTACTATGATTTTTTTTAAAATACTTATCATCTTAACTTGTTTTCATGATTTTCCATCCCAATTTCGACAAACAAGACAAATTTTTTTATTTTTTCTAATTTTTCTTATAAACCCTAACCTAGAATTAAAAAATAAAAAATTAATTCTAAATTACATTCAATATAAATTATGAAATCAAGCTTAAAACATTCTACATGATATTAAAATAAGTTTTAAGCCTCAACTAGTTGAAAGTTTTTGGCACTCCTTCTTGGTCAATTCTAAACCCTTTTTATTTTTAAAATTTTTTCATTTATTCCTTTTCAATTCTTGCCCTGATATTGTTTCCCCCACGGCATAAACTAATCTCATTCAAATCCCCTTCAATTTTGATGTTTTCTCTCTCAATTTTTTGTGAAAATAATTGAAACCTCCCCCCTCTTTTCTTCTAAGTGCAATTGGATTAGAGGTTCTTAGTCTTCACTCTTGGTAAATTAGATATTAGCCTTGTTAGTTTATTATTTTATTTATGTTTCCATCCTTTTTTATATAATAACTTGTGGTATATATACTTTTTGTTTCTTTTAATTTCATCCATTGTGGAATATACATAAATTATTCCATAACAAAATAGATGAAATTAATAAGGAGAAGATGTGTTTGAATGAAAAAACAAGAATAAAAAAATTTAAAAAAAAATAATCCTTGAGATAATTATGGAGTGGATGTGTAAAGATTACTTGTTTCCTTCCTCTTTTTTTTTAAAAAATTAAACCAGTCCAAAACTCGAGTTATTTAAGTTTGGAGTTCACCCGCTAATTTTATTGGAGTTTTATAACTAAGGTTATTATATTTTTATTAATTTTAACATTTAATATAAATTAAAGTAAAATAATAATATCTACTTTTTTTTAACATATAAGTTTGAAGCCAATATATATAATAAAATAAAATTTTTAAAATTTATTTTATTTTATTTTATTCATCATTAATCAAATAAAATAACAGAGAGTACTTGTACTTAATCTGGTTAATTCTTGGTCTTCTAATTTTTGTTACCAAACACTTTCTATCTCACCTACCTATTTGGTTTGAAAACCCCACCACCTAACCTAAATTTAGTTATATATACTTCACATGATCTCATGCACCCAAATTAACAAAACAATATATTTTAAAAATAATAATTTTTTACACAAATTATTCCATAACAAAATAGATAAAATCAATAAAGAGAAAATGTCATTGAATGAAAAAACAAGAATAAAAATAATAAAAATACTTTTATCCTTAAGTGAAGGTACAAAGAGAACGAAAAATAATACATACATACATACATACATGTGTGTGCGCGCGCGCGCGCAGAGAGAGAGAGAACTTTTAATTTTAAACTTCGTAGAGAGAGAGAACTTTTAATTTTAAACTTGTATAATTAAAGCATATAAAGATAAAAATAATTATTATTATATAAGATTTTTAATGAGTTCAGACAATTTCAATCCTTTTTTTAAAAAAAAAATTAAATCAATCCAAAACTCAAGTTATTTAGGTTTGGAGTCACCCGGTTAATCCCATTCAAGTTTTATAATTAAAGTTATTATGTTGTTATTAATTTTAATACTTAATATAAACTAAAGTAAAATAATAATATCTAATTATTTTTTAATATATAAGTTTGACATCAATATATATAATAAAATAAACTTTTCAAATATTATTTTATTTTATTTATCATTAATCAAAGAAAATAATAGAGAAACTTCTACTTAGTCTGGCCATGATCTTTTAATTTTTGTTACCAAACACTCTCCGTCTCACTACTTACTTAGTTTGAAAAACCCACCACCTAACCTAAATTTAGTTATATATACTTCAGATGATCTTGCGCATTCAAATTAACAAAACAATGTTTTAAAAATATTTTTTTTCATGTACATAGATATAAAAATAACAACAATCAAATTATTTTTTAATAATGTTGAAGTCATGTGATTAATTAATGTTAAAAAATAAATCATTTTATATTGTTTTAATTATTTCTTGTTTAAAATTGAAGTTTTTATAGAGTTATTTGTTAAAATTAATTATTTTATTATTGTTCATGTGTTGTCATATCACTATGAAAATGTCTACCATAACGTTATTCAACCAAAATCTCCTAATTTTTTTTTTATAAAAAAAAGAAGTTATAGTAGGAAATCCTACCACCAGGATTTTTAATAATATCACACATAATTACCCACATATTCACTCACACAACTAAACTGATAGTAAAAAATAATGATATTTATTATAAGTGATAACATTTAGAGATAAAAAAACACTATAAAAATAGAAGTGACATTTAAAATATTTTATTTTTGTTTTACATAATCTTACTTGTCAAAAATGTTATTACAATCCTTTATATATATATATATAAGTACTAATATTGAATAGAAAATAAAAATAAAAAACTATTTACTGCAATTAGAAAACTAAAAAGGTATAAAAATACCGAATAAAAATAAATAAATTTCCTAGACTAAAAAGAAAATAGAAAAAAATTAAAAAATATGTTTTTTTTTCCAGGAATCTCCTACATCACAAAGGACCACTTAATCCCTTCATATATATATATATTTTTTTTTTTCTTGCTAGTTATTTTTTTTATTATTTTAAAAAACAAAATAGTTTCTTTACCATAGTTAGTTATTTTTTTAGTATTTAAAAAAACAAAATAGTTTCTTTACCATAGTTGACTATTAATTCTGTGTTTTTTAAACACACTTTTAGGTCAGACGAGATTGAAAATCTTGACTAAGTTTGAGGACAGCCAAAGGACAAAACAATTATATTGTAATCTAGAGCTGATGGATGACTAAGTTACGAACAAATATAAAATGACAGATTCAATATTGGGTTTCTAACTAAAATGAAAACATAGAAATTAAAAAATAATATCCAAGCCGAATGCCAAGAGACTACTCAGATGCACTTGCCGGCCTCTTGAACTCCTAGCCCTATTCCATTCAGGCTGCAGCCTCTTGTAATGGTCCAGGCTAATTTAGCCAGACTTAAATACTGGCCCATTAGAGAGGAGTGTAAACAAAGAAAAAAAAAAGGAAAACAGATCGAGCTTGGAATTTTGGAGAGAGCATGTACGGGAAAAAAAGAAACGGATATGGTGTCTCTTGTCTGTCATCTTCTCATTCGAAGTTTTGAAGCTTAACAGGATATGGAAAAAGCGCGAACCTTTCTTCTCCAATTGCAACAGGTAACCTCTCTAACATAATCTATAATATCTGAATCTTCTACTTTAAACTTTTCATGGCAACCACATTTACTCAGGCAATCTTAAAGTCTTTGAATTCTCTGCTTTGTCGATCGAAGTTGGAAAGATAATACCCACTTCAGTTTAATTGTTTCCCTTTCAATTGTTTTGTTACAGTGTCATGTAATATTGGAAAAAAACTGAAAATTTGAGAATTGTTAGACCGCATAGAGATTATTTTTTGTATAGACTAAACATGATATGTGTGGGGAGGTTTTTTTTATCCCACTTTTGGTGGTAAGAAGAGAATTTGAAATATTATTTGTATAATTTTAGGAACATGAATATCAAGAAATGTATTTTTAGGACAACCTTTTCATGACATCCTTTGGAATATCTTTTTTTTTTTTTTTAATTTCAGATATTTCCAATGAAGTAATAATTCTGATATTTCTGGTTTTGTATAGTGACGCACTGAATGCCACTCAGTTGATGGAATGATATGAAGAGTGAGGACTTTTTGGATGATGAATATATCAGTTGATGGATATATTGTTGTTGATATGCCAAAAGTTTAGCTTGTAAAATTCTTGTTTTTTTTAATCAGCATATAGATTGCGGAGTCTCGCTGAATGTTGTCATGCAAAAGCAGAACATTCTGTATTCCAAGGCCTCTTTCGGTTTTGGAAGGAACCCAGATAGACAACTTGATTGTAGAATTCCTTGTGTAGCTCCAAGCATGCTTCCTCGTAGAGGTAATAAAAAGTCATGTCTTATGAAGGCAAAATTCCCCTCTATCACTAAATATGAAGGCTTGAATTTTCCAAAAAACAATGATGCTTGGCGGCCTGGGAGAATCAAAGCTGTGGTTGATGAAAACCCAGGTGAATTATCCGATGAAGATGATGATCTCTGTCCTGTGGATTGTGTTAGAGAATTCAAGACTGATGAGGAATTCCTTAGAATTCTTGAGAAGGCCAAAGAAACTGATTCTTTAGTGGTGGTAGATTTTTATCGCACTTCTTGTGGAAGCTGCAAGTATATAGAGCAGGGGTTTGCAAAATTGTGCAAGGGTTCTGGTGATCAAGAGGCTGCAGTAACCTTCTTAAAGCATAATGTGAGCATTTCTGTAAGCTTAATTTGTCCAGATTGCACAACTCATATGATTTCTAAATACTGTTCAAGGACCATGCACGAAAAGCACATAAATGTTTGGGAGTTAGTGACCATCATCAACCTAATATGGTACTCCCTCAACAAGCTACCAGCAAAAAAGTAGGATGTTTGTGATAACTTGATGTTTATTTGAATTGTGCTATCAAATATATTAACAAAAATCAGCAGACAATTTCCGAAAACCATTTAAGTAAGAGGATATTAATCTGAAGGTGGCTCAATTTAAAAGGATGCTTTTTCTAGCAAAGCACCTATTGTCATTGTTGGACTCTCCTAGCGAGGTTTTGGCCTATTTTGATTGAATGACCATCAGTTTCAGCATGACTTTATTCTGCAATAAACCAAGAAACATATCTTTTATATTCTGGTTTCAAATGAATGAGAGTTTCCGACTATGCTATTTTAATGCAGGTAATTGATGAGTACGATGAACAATCTGAGGTTGCTGAACGACTTAGAATCAAGGTAATATATGGTATCTAAATGCTCTTTTTTGTTCATTACGATCGCACTATGCATCCCACTGATCGTTTTTTTCCCAGTTGATATTTATATTGATATGAGTGAACCTGAATCGATGCAGACTGTTCCCCTCTTCCACTTCTATAAAAGGGGAGTGCTGGTAGAATCTTTCCCTACCAGGGACAAAGAGAGGATTCTTGGAGCAATTCTGAAATACACTTCACCAGCAGCTCAAGATACTTAAGTTGAATATGGTTCTGTCCAACCTCAAACTTATGTACAAAAGTAATGTGATACTTTATGTGGAGACAGATTTGATTAAGTGACATATAGGACATATTCATCTGCAATAATATATAGGGTGTGCTTCATTTGGAACATAAATTTTTCTTTAAGCATACAAGTCCATCTTCGAACTTCTGTTGTTTCTATTTAATCAACAGTATCGTGATGTGCTAGTCCGGTTTCTGCTTTTGAAGGGAGCGGGGGTTACTTCATAACTTTAAGGTGTGCTGGTCATTTTGCTGCAGCTGCAAGAGGTAATGAGCCACCATCTTGTGACATTCTATACAAGTGCAAATGTTTAAAGCTTGAAGCATGCTCTAAGTCATGGTTGAAGCTGTTTGCTTATACGAATGGCATTATCATTGTTGTTACTAAGAGTATACATACTCTTAGCGCGGAAAATTCAGGATATAGGAAACACCAAAACAAGGTAGACCACAAGAGTCCTGGTGGAAAGGAATCCAATCTCATATTATTTACCACACACCGATTCTTTCTTATTAAAAAAGAAGCTATATTATGATCAAGGATACATGCTAAAAAATATTGAATTTTCACTGCACATACTCATAATTTACTGTGATTTAAATAATAAATTTATTATTTTACATTGCTCTCTAAAAACATGTTTTAAGTAACATGTGAGTCAACATTAGATAAAATAATACCAGTTAAATTGAATAATATCATCTTTCACCACGATATTTGAAATTTCATGATACCCTCTTTCACATAGGACAATTCATGTAATGTTTTGAATGGTGATTTGCCACCAACTACCCTTTTTTTTCTTTTTTTCTCTTCTCTCTCTCTCCTTCTTATTGAATTTCATGTTAGCCATGAAAAAAATAAATTTGTTCTGTTATTTTATAACATTTCATATTTGGTTCTTAATGTTTTGATTTTTAAGTTTATATTTTAGTTTTTTTATCAAATTTTAATTTATTTTTAATTTTATCATTAAATTCATAATCTTGATTTTTATTTTTGATTTCGATCCTTTTGTGAATTTGATTTTTCTTTTCAATTTAAAATTTTATGATATTTAATGTTAGGCTTTCAATGTTTTGATTTCAAATTTTAGATCCTAACCCTTTTATCAAATTTTAATTTGTTTTTAATTTTATTTTTGGATCCATAATCTTGGTTTTTTACTTATTTTTTTTAAATTTGTTCATTCTCTTGTTTTTTATTTTTTGTTTTGGATTATTTTTTTAATTTGATTTTTCTTTTCAATTTTACCCTTTGATATTTAAGGTTAGACCCTTAATGTTTTGATTTTCAATTTTGATTTTGAATCCTTAAATCAAATTTTAATTTGTTTTCAATATCATCCTTGATTCTATAATCTCATTTTTTGTTTTTAAATTTGATCTCCATTCTCTATATTTTATTTACGATTCTTATGTAAATTTGGAAATTTTGGATTCTTATGTAAATTTGATTTTTCCATTTAATTCAAGATTTTAGATTGTTTTATTTCTATTTTTGGAGAGTTGGCTGGGGAGTTTATTTGAGACAAGTACATGGTTATGTATCGGGTGGGTTAACTTGAGTTAATTCAAGTCAAATAAATTTTTGATTTTTTTAAAAAAATAATATTATTTAAAATAATTCAAGTCAAATAAATTTTTTATTTTATTAAAAAAATAATATTATTTAAAAAATAAATAAAAATAATCAAGGAATTTTGACTAAGTTTGCATTGAATTGACCAAATTAGTGGTCAATTTTTGTTTTTAATTATTCTATACTATGTCAATTCTCTCTTAATTTTTGTTTTAAAACCTAATTCGTTTTAAGTTTCAAATTACTTGAGCAATGTATCAACCCTAATAATTATTTTTTAATTTTTATCTAAAATAATATTATTTTAAAATAAACCAACTAAACTATTTTTTTATCCAACCAACTAGTCCACCCGCATCTTAACCTAGCAAACCTACAATAAGGACCACATTGTCGTCCATGAATCATGACATTCACTTTCAATGTCTTCAATTATCGAGAGATTCAGCACAATGATCTGTCCGTCCAATGAACGAACAGCATGTCGTTTATTTTGGCAACCTCTTCCAAGGATTCCCTGATCCTGTATCGTGAGAGCCCTCCGGAGGGCCGCCTCAGGTCCTCCAGAGAGAAGCTAAATACAGGGAGTGGGCCCACATTGCTTGATTGGCTGGTGCGGTGAAACCAAGTGCTCTTACTATCCACCGTACAAAATCACTGCAATATGATTGAGGAAATATGAAAAAACCTGTGCAAAAATTCTTCTCCGACACCGGGCGTCCTTCAGATATCGTGAAATCTGGAGCCACTTGAGAAAATACAACACCATTAGGGCTATCAAGCTCCAGTAGCCACATCTTAGTAGGGTCCATGACCATAATCGAGAAAAAGATTTGTAGCTAGCCAAAGTCTGTGCCCTTTAAGAGGTGCCTTCCAGCCAGAGGTGCCTTCTTTTTGCAACGAGGCCAATCACCGGGCAACAAATGGCTCTCGTGCAGCCTCTTTCAGAGGACTCCCCAGGGGGCCAAATGCGTGACCACGCTTCTCAGACAGACACGTGGCCATGTAAAAAATGTGATGCTGCTCAACTCAAGATGGGCTGCAGTTCCAAAATTTCTGATTGTTTTTTCCCTCATGTTTCTATATTGTTAATATAAGTTTTAAAAAATTTTAAAAAAACTATTTAAAAATTAAAAAATATTTTAAAAAAATAACCGTATTATAATACCAAATATGATATCATAATACCAAATACACTAATAATATAGCTTTTTTTACTAGTTTTTTTTAAAATAAATTTTAAAAAAATACATTTCCTTAGGGTTTTAAAAAAATATGTATTTAATGAAAACTATTATGAGATAGACTTTTAAATATAAGATAAATAAAAAATATATTTTATTTTAATTTTTTTAAAATAAAATATAAAATATAATCATGTTCGACATCCATTGTAAAAAATAGTAACTATTTGATTAATATAATAACCTTTTTCTATGGCTTAAAATTAAAAATTATTACAATACTAAGCATATTTTAAAAGCAAGCTCACCTGAAAAGCGTATATTTCAACATGCATAGAAAATATATTTACACATTAGATAAATAAAATAAAGTTTAAAAAGAAGTTTGAATGTATTAAACAAGTTTTTTTTTTGGATAAAAATAACTGTAATTTTTTATTTAATAATTTCATCCCTGAAATACGTTCTAAAGTCCAAGTCCAAGTTCAAGAATACCTTCAAATTCGACTCACAACATAATGTTCTTGAATTTTCTGTAGTTTTCCGATCATCTTTGGACTCTTTCTTTATTTTTCTAGTTTTGGAGTTCCTTTTCTTTTCAGCCTAGATCGATCAAACTCTTATTTAAATAGTTTTGTAAATTATTTTATTACAAATCTTAGAATTTATAAAATGTAATCTCTCTTTACAAGTTGATCTGGAGTTTAGAAAGCTCTGATCTTCTATTTTATTGTACGACGTGTCATAACAATAACTCAGGAAATTTGGATCGATTCGACATGCATGGTTGCTAATTTAGAATCAAACCCTTGTGGAGATTATTACACATATCCCAGAATAGATATAAAAAAAATGGATGAATCGGAATGAGAATTATAAGAGATGGGATTTGATATGAAAAATAGGAATCTCTTACAATCCCCAAATGGGCCTTGGGAGAGGATATGGCTCAGACCCTTCTGCTAATTAGGAGCAAAAATAAGAAATACTTGGCTAAAAAGGAATACAATACTATTTGTTAAAATAACAAGTGAATTTGGAGAAAAATGGCATCCCAGCTCATGAAAAGAGCACCAATCCTAGCTGGTAGATTCTTTCCAAAATCTGGCTGGAAGTCCATGCAATGGCACAGGGAATGGGCCATACTGAATCCCACTTTGAGATCCCACCACTTTCCATCTGCAAAGCAAAATAACAAAAAGCCACTGTCAATTCCTTACACACAGAGATTGAGCAATCTCCAAGGCCCTCAGCAACGCACCAAGAATCTGCTCTATCTCTTAGATTTCTTATAATCCCCCCCCCCCCCCACAACAAGGTACCCTAAATCTGTTTTGGATTAAACGCTTGAGATCACTTAACTGTTTAGATGCTAAAATCTACTGTACTTAGACTGCAATGCTAAGGGCAAGCATATTAGGAAAAAGTTTTACAGGCAAATCTCGTTGGAGGGGACCAGCAGAAGGATATCTCATATTCGTTAACCAAATATAGACAGACAATACATTCAATGTATAGTTGCTGTGATTTTCGGCAATACCTGAACTTGGTGAGCAAATGGTGGATCATAACAAGAATCTCCAACTTGGCAAGTTCATTGCCTGGACAGGCATGTTGTCCACTACCAAATGGCATATATGTATTGGGTTTTGGTGCAACCTACACACACACACACACAAAGTGAGATAAAAATCTGAAAAAAAAAAGAAATTCCTTGGTCACAAACCAAAAATTACTATGTTTATTCATACCTCAAATCTTGTAGGATCAAATTTCTGAGGATCGCTGAAATATTCTGGATTGTGATGAATGTTCCTGAACAAAGGCATCACCTTCCAACCTTTCGGAATCAAGTACCCTGTCACAAAGTTCGGTGTGAGTCACTTTCCCTAAACGTCAATTTCTATGATAAATGTTGAAAGAATTGTGGCCAGATCCAATATAAGCTCAATTGACCACTCCATCTAAGCAGGATCGTCTATGATTTTAATCTTGCATTTTCTCTCCGAATATTGAAAATACAGTCGAATTTGACCACCCCATCTGAACAGGACACCTAGTTTTTTCGCTAAATCGATATGGGTAGGTCTCCAGGGATAGCCTAACTGTCGGGACTTGGATTTCTAATAGGAGTCTTAGATTCAGATATCTGGAAATTCAAATAGATATGAGTTTCTGGAAATTCAAATAGATATGAGTTGTTCTTCCTATTATTACCCTTGTATTCGACATCAGCCACTGCTTCCCTAAATGTAAAAGATATAATGCTTGCCATTCTCAAGCTCTCCAGCACAACCTGCCAGCCCGTAGTTTCTTGCTGTTAGCCATTTGTATAACAAAATGATATCCCACTAGGCAAATAAGTAGAACTACAAATT